AAAAAAAAAAAAAAAAAAAACAAACAAACAAACAAAAAAATCAAAGCAGCTCCTGGCCAGAATTGACAGACACATGCGGTAAATACAGCATCCATGTGAATCTGAGAGCTCTTGCTGTGCTCTGGGTGTTAGATGTCTGATAGTAGTTGCCAGAGAATAGTTCTTTGTTATCAGATATCAATTAGACTGGAGTTGTATAATCAGAAGAGGGACAATGAATAAATCTTGAAAACTATTTCATGCTCTTGAGAACAATGAAAACCTCAAAATTATTTTCATGAGATATATTTTGATATATTCTTTTATCATGCCTACAGTTGAAACTCTAAAGGAATAAGATTAATTGTTAAATTTTACCAAAAATGTCACTTTTTGTATAAAGCATCCCTTAAAATACCATGAATTACAAAACAAGTGTCTTGCTTTTTGATTTATGATTCTGGAAACCTTGTCTTTCAAAATTTTTTCCTAGTCCTTTATTTGATGTACTCAATTTGATTTAAAGTTAGAAAAAACAAACAAACAAAAGCCATTTTTATCCTAGAAGGGATTACAACAAATATTCAAAAGAACTCTGATTCTCTAGCCCATCTGTGAGATGACATACTACATACAAACCATTTTGATTAATCACGAGATATTACTAGCTCAGATCTAATCAAAGATCAAGATTATGATCATGTCAGCATGGACTTTTATGTAGCTGGATTAACTCTATGGAAGCTTTTATTTTCCTGCAATTCAACATTATAGAATTAAATTTAAAAAATAAACATCAGATCTTTCAGGGGGACAAATTAAAACAAAATCAATCAGAGTGTGACAGAAGTCAGATTTTGCTTTATCTTTTAGAAGACAATGCATCTTAATGGTGATTTGTAAATTGTATGGTGCTGTTTAAATACGTAGAAATAAGAAAACAAGAAACATAGCATACAATTAAGGTCTTATTCTTCATACTTTTTATCATTTTCCCAAATATAGTCTTTAACAATGAAGACTTGCTTTTTGGAAAATTAAAAGAAAATCAAGAAAACATTTATAATAGTTAATTTTATTAAAGATTAAATAAGAAGAGAACCCATGTATGACTGCAGAGTAGGATCCACATGTTGGAAACTATCACAGCCCGCATACCATCCGTCCACAACTCTTTCAAATTTCAGTTAGTCTAGCTCACAAAATTTCTTTTCAAAGTATTAACACTTTTCCTTCATCTACAATGGCTAATGTATTTGGCTTAATGTCTCGTGACAAAAATTTAGAAAGGTTTTTTGGTCATATTCTAATTTAATACAACTAATGCCATCCTCTATGTTGTTATTTGTCCAAATCTATATTCTTCATGGGTATCCCCAGAGGAACAAGATGGGATTCAGAAATCCACAGTAATATTAATTAATGTTCAGAGTGAAGGAAGCATATTAGGAAGCCATTTCATTGTTATAAAGATGAGAAAGTCATCATTTCTTACAGCTGTGTTTATTTTGGCAGCATTAGGTTTAAGTCTATTAAATTCCATGTCAAAATTGCATTGTTTCAGGAAAAAATATAGTGCTAGTTCAACTTATGTCCCAGTCAAGATAGATAACAGAAATCTGCCCCCAACAATATATTTTTAAAAATTATTTAGGCGGGGAAATCATCACCATAATGACTCAAAAAAGCTTGTTAACATATTTTACTGTGCAAACACTGCTATTTGTCTTCCTCATGCTTAATAACTGCAAATGAAATATTCAGCACCCATTGCTGAATGAGAATATAGTGTATATTGGGGATATTCAAATTCCAAAGCATAAAAAATCTTCCTAAAATAATTGTGGGTAGTTGAAAAAATTTATAGCCTATATCCTTTCTTAATCTCAGTTAAACAATAAACACTTTCTCAGAACTTCTCACTAGTATTTAAGGGACTACAAGGACACATGAAAGAAATAATACAAATTAGATCTCATAAATCTTTTCAGAGATTAAAATCAAGTTCTATATACACACCATTGCATAAGCACTTAGAATTTCTTCCATATACACAAAAGGACACATCTTAATATTTATGAAAAACATCAAGTAAGTTTAAATTATATGGAATATAAATATGGAGATTTGGAAGTAAATATTGAAGAATGTTGGAAATAAATTTGGAAGAATAATCTAATAATACAGAATGATTGTTAAATATAAAAAGCTGTTTAATACATGTCCCTTTAGTTAAAAAGGATAGTGACATTTAAAAGAGTAGACCAATACCAAATACTTGAGATTCATCTCTATGCAGCACTACACTGAAATTCGTAGGTGTTATGGATTAGATCTGAAATGTTCCTACAAAGTCTCATGTGCTTGGAAGGCGATTGGATAATGGAGGTGGCTATTATCCACTGACGAATCCAATGTGCTATTAGGATGTGGGGCCTGGTGGGAAGAGGCACTTTCCTGAGGGGGTAACATTGAAGGGTGTATCTGCTTCTCTGGCTCCTCCCTTTTTATACCCTGCTTCTTGGCTGCTTTGATAAGGGCATCTTTTCCTCTACCCAGGTCTTTCCACCATGCTTTTTCTGTTTTGGAGCCTGCTGGTCATGGCATGAAACTTCTGAAACAATAAGCCAAAATAAATCTATTTTCTTTTAACTTGCAGGTATTAGGTATTGAGTCTCAGCAACAATAAAAGTGACTAAGATAGTTGATTTAAAAATTTGGCTAGTAACTATTGCACATTGCTCCTCTACATTGAAAGCCAAGCGCTACACACAACAATCTATGTTTATTAAAATAATTTAATCATTTCCTTTATTCCTTCAATTATTCTAGGTTAAGTGTCTAGATCATTACAACATCTTCCTAAGAAAGCAGTGAGCAATCTTTAGACATGCACACAATTCAGGAAGCATAAAATTATATACTAATTAAAAATCTTTAAAGATAGGGACGGGGATTTAGCTCAGTGGCACCATGCCTGCCTTGCAAGCACAGGGCCCTGAGTTTGATCCCTGGAACCAGGAAAAAAACAAGTCTTTAAAGACATTGTAATCACTACGTCTTTACTACTTACTACTATCTATAACAGTGTATTAACAATTTACAATTTTTTTCTTAATCAATGAAGAATTCTCTATGTGCATGTTTAGAATTTCAGATATTATGCAGCTGATTGATGATATCCACTACAATATCTGATTGCAATATTGACCTTTCAAACAAACTTTGTTATTGAGCAAGGCACTTTTGAAGTTGCATTGTTTTACCTTTCCTTGACCTACTTTGGAGGCAACATCTCTGGACAATGATATTTAACTCATAATGTCTCTTAGAACTGAATTATTTGAATATCTACTATTTCTGGACTCTGATATGGGCATAAGCCTACCTAAAAATACTCCAACAACTTTTAATAATGATGAGTTGTCATGATTCTAGATACAGAGGACAAGGTATCTCACTGCAAGGATAGAGATGGGGGATCCCAAAGAAAGAAAAGCATTTGGAAGGTATGGCTTACTGTTAGGACACCAGCAGCTTCAACAGTCTCAGTGAGAGCTGAGGTGGTGCCAAGGGAGTGTGGACCACAATGCAATTCTTTGGCTGTAACAGAGGTGGGAGTTACAAGCAGCCGAAGACACCTTAGTAACTGATGCAAAGATGCCTATCTACGCCCGAAGACCTCGCCAAGGAGCCACCTCAGGGAAGCCAGAAAAGATGAATGTGTACATCTGTAGATAGGACTCAACAATAACAGGAATGATGGGGAAAGGGAATTCTAAATTTTACTTAATGTTTATATAAAAGGAATTATGTTTT